GATATTTTTTCAGTGTTCTCAAAAGCACTTGTCAATCCAGTGAGCACAAAATGAAGAAAACATAACAAAAATCAGTTTGCCAAATGTGTCACACCTTATTTGCTTTTGGATTTGGGGAGTTTTGAAGCACTCTATGATTCCTTACCCCATGTTGTTTGTCTTTCCTTACAGCTATGACTAGTTCAACCTCACCATTTTTAATCTTGCCCTATCCCAAGGACAAATCTTAAGGTGGACAGGAACGATTTTAAGAACTCAGGGTAGTTGGTAAGCATAAAATAGTAATATGATTTACTGAGCAAGAATTATGCTGAGGGCTTTGTATATTCTCAGTTAATCCTAGCATCACCCCTACAAATTATATATCATTCATCCAAATGCACACAAGAATAGATGATTCTTTAACTATTCATAATGTACATTTGAGAACGTTGAAAATACATTAAGGCACAGCCAGTCTCAAGAGACAAATTTAGTATTTGCAGTCATCCAGGAGATGAAGTATTTTAAGACAATGATGAAAATAGGGATGTATTTCAAGTAAAAACATATGAGGATGGAAGGTTATGGTATAATCTGTAATATATATGTATATATGTTTACACATACACATACATACATATATATTTATATCTCAAAATTTATTTTTAAGAACAGTGAAAAAGATGCAAAGACTACATGCCAAATCATTAACCTTGGATAGCAGAATACTAGGGTAAGGGGAAAGATACATTTTCAAATATTACTTCATAGATTTAACTTTTTGTCAAAAAAGATATTTTACATTTGTAATTTGGAAGAAAAGTTTGCTTCCTAGGTGACAAATCAATCTTGATTAGCCAGAAAACAAACCTTGACCATAAAATGGTAGAACTCATAGCTTTCCCAATATTTTACAATTAAAAATAATGATCCACTCCTCATTCAGAAAGAACTCCCTTTCATAAGTGACAGTGTAAAAGAAAACTTGAAGAAAAATCCCAATTCATTTTTTACATTATTTTAAAACATTTGTTTGAAAGGCTAGTGCATAAATCAAATATGTATTTTTTATTCTGTTCATTATGCACTTAACATTTACATATTTTATAGTTCCTCTATCTGTACATAAGTCATAGGTTTTATTGTTAATGGTTTTCTCTTTGCTTTCCTCATAAACGTAATTGCCTGTAGCTTAGCACCCATGAGTTACCTAGCAACAAGTCAGCTCTCTAACAAGTAAGAAATGAATGCAAACAAGGTGTTATGGAAAAAACATTCAGTTTAAGAATATTGGTGCATGTATGTTATTAAAAATCAAGATACAGCATTCTAATTTTGAGAAATGACATAACAATAGGTATTGACTTTCATATTAAATAATATTCCCTGCTTCCTTCATTCAGAAAAAAGTGGAGTCTATTTCAGACTGCACCACTGTTAACTAGGAAACTGAATATTCATATTTTCCCTGGCAGTCTGTTCATTACAGATTAGATGAGAAGAGTGTCTTGGCATGCTTTTACTATGTGGTACATGAGTTTACTAGATTAAGTTTCACTAATACACCTTCCTGACAGTGATGCATTGCTCATTTCTTAAATAGTTTTAGAATAAATGTGTGTGTGTTTTTTTTTTCAAGGAGATGTGCTTATGGTACTGTACTTTTGAGGTGGTTAGTTTTTGTAAATACCATGAAAAATTCCACTTTGTATTTCACATTTTAAGACTTTGATACATTTAATATTAGTATCTTTTGGTGAAATTTAACTTCTATACTTGCTGGTTATTTTCACTGGGAAAATAGGTCTCCTGTTCTAGAAGTTGAAGTTCATAAAGGAAGAATATCAGTTATTAGGGAAAAACTACAATTTCATAGGATGGTCATTTATATGATAAATAGACTGAGGTAGGAAGGGTAACACATGCTGGCAAATACCTTTCACCAAATAGCAAGGCTTCTATTTTATGCCAGGGACAGAAGTACTTGGCTCTTATCAGTTTGAGAGGTAGCTCACTAAACTCCAAGAAATCTCGGAGCCCTGTAGAAGATTGAGGTAAAGGACTGCAGGATGGGATGTGGCCGGAACATATGATTGCGCATTTAAAATGAATGCATAGCATTGTAAAACTAGAAAGCATCTGCTCCCTGCTGGAGATACATCTGGAGATACATGTGTTTGGGGTTTTTTTTGGGTTTTTTGGGGGTTTTTTTTTGTTTTTTTTTTCTCCAAATGCCCTACGTTTGTATTCACTTGTAAAATTTAACCTTAAATGACTCTGAATTTTTGCTCCAATCACAGTTAGAATGTGAGTTTAACTATGAGTTCTTTCTCTGTCCTCCCAGAGCACCCTTCACCAGGGAAGGTGGGGGATAAAAATCATGAGACCCTTAAAGAGAAGTCTAAACACTCGTAAGGTGATAGTTGGATTTGGATTTCTTCTGTAGGTGAAAAGCTTGGTTACTTATGTGATTTAGATTAAAATGAGTCACCAGAAATAAATGAAGAAAGAATATTCTTTACATGGTAAAGTCATCAAAAGATACCTAGCTACGATGGGATAGAATGGTTTTATGGAATTTACACTCAAAATGTCATAGAGTAACATGGTTTATCTGTAAAGAAGCTACACGTCATAGCTGGAGTCACTGGTCAATTTCAGGAAGACGGCTTTTTTAATGTGGTATATGCACATAACTGCCCCTTGCAACACAAACCTCTCAATGGAGTCATACTGTTGAAAAGCATCCTTCATTTTGGGAGGTTGAGGTCCTGGAGGACAGGGATAATCTTAAGTTTTTATCCAGTATTTGCTATAGTACGTTATACATTATAAGCTTGCAACAAATAATTAATCTTTTTTTTCAATTAGCATTAGGAGGTATGTCAGAAAGATCCATAACAGTCTCTCCAATTATATTAAA